AAGAGGCAACCTGCAGATCCCTGGGAACGCCTTGCTGCGCACCATGAGTTCCACGCCGGGCGCAGTTGAGAAGCCTGCGCCCGCGGAGGGGGGAGAGGGGCAGAGCACGCGAAACAGCGCGTCCAGGCGGCAGGGTGGTGCCCTGGAGGCACGGGGGCCTGCCAGCGGTCGAGCCTGCGCCTCGCGTGCGCCGCGTGGGAGGGCCCGGCAGCGGCGCGAACGCATCGCGCGGCCTGGGCCTGCCAACCTTTCTGCCTGTCCGCGGCGGGGTCGCCTTTCGTCAGCGAGTGGCCGCCCAGCCGCGCCGCTTCCTCCGCGGCTGTCAGCGCGGTGGGGCCGCGCACAAGTGGAGGATGCAATAGTCCTCTATTCAGGCCCGGCATCTGTCGACCTGGTGCTGGTTCTCTGGCCGCGGGCCCGTTCTCGCGCTTCAAGGCCCCCGTGCGCCGCGTGCTCGAAGCGAGCCACCCGCGCCCGGGCCGCCAAAGCAGCGCTGGGGGCGTCTGGCAAGTCTCGCGGAAAGGGGGGCGCCTGGAGGTCCTTGAACGCGGCGGCCGTGGTCCAGTCCTTAGGCCCCCTGCCCAGAACACGTCTTCTCCTCGATATCTGCAGAAGCCGCAGAAGGGAACGCCTGCGCGACGAACGTCGCTACGGAGCTGACTCAGACCTGGTGCGCGAACATCGATTGGAACAAACCTACTCCCAGCTTGCCCCACCTTTCTGCCATGTCCATGTTTTTAAAATGGCATTCACGGCTTCCGCCATCGTCTCCCCGCGGGGAGGTGGCTAATTCTTCCACGGGCGATCCGACTCGCCTGACAAGTGGATGCGCCGCGTGGGTCGGGGCGTGGCTGCAGGATATCCTGAGCTCGAGGCCGCGGCCCGCCCTCTCGACTGCGCTCTGGCGCGGTCCGAACGTTCCGTGGGTTGCGGGCGCCATCGGGGCCCTGGAGTCAGCGCGTCGCACTCTCCGTGCTGCGCTACCGTTGGAGCAGCCTAATGCGCGGGGCCTACTGGGGAACGACGGGGCGCTCGCCTGGCCCAGGGCGCATGGCCCGTAGCTTTCGGAGTGGTGCCCTGCGCGGTGGCGCTGGCTCTCGCTGGCGCTAGCATCGGCTTTCGCCGACGCGAGGCCACCCTTGCCGCAGCCGGCAGGAAGCGGCGCGCCCTGCGTCATCGGGCCATCGTGACGAGCGGGCGCTTCGGACGCTGCGGTTCGCTGCCTGGCGGGCGGCGGCGGCGCGGGCGGGCTACGCTGGCGCCCGGGGTGCGCAGCCTTCGTTGCAGCCGGGGGCGCGCGGATCATCGCGCCGCGCTTTTCCCGCCTATCTGCCCGCCGCAGCGCGGTCGCCTCCCTGGGGCCGGGCCGCCGCCCATAGCGACCCCTGCTACGCGCCCGCGAAGCATGCGCGTCTGCGTAGACTCTCGGGTCGCCTCTGACCCGCATGAGTCGGCGCCCGCGAGGTCTGGGTGGATGTCGTGGTCGACCGCTCGGGCGTCGCGCGCGTCGATCCACTCGGGCCATTTTCTGCCCCGAGGGCGACCAGGTTCTTTCTTGCATTCTGTCGTGCGCAAAATTTTGGATCGTCGTCCTCTGCCGAACAAGGGCGTCGAAATCTTGTGTTTTAGAACGGATTCGGTTTGCCTCGAAGTGATCCAGGACTTTGCCCGGCCTCGGCGCTCGCCGCGCAGGGCGAAGTGTTCGCCCTCCCTCAGTTGGAGGGCATCGGGCGCCTGTTGCTCGATAGCATCGGGCGCGTGGGCCGCGTCAGAACCGCGCCCTTCGATGTCAGCTCGACCTGGAGCAAGGCAGCTGGGGGGGATGGCACTGGCGCCTCTGCCAGAGAGGTCGCTCGGCAGACGGAACTCGCGCGCGGGGCGCAAAATGTCGGCCCGCGGCGCGGCGAACTCCTTGTCCGCGACGGTTGTGGCGCCCGCTAGTTGCTCGGCCCCGACGGGGCCCGCGGCGCCCCAGCGCGGGGCGCCCCTTTGATCCGGCTGCTTGGTCGCCAGGGGGGGGCGAGGCAACGTTTCTTCGGCGCCGCAAGATCCGGCCCTCACTTTCGCAACCGCCCATGAGATGTTGCGTCGGTGCACGCAGCGCTCCTGGAACGGGGCCTCGGCTGGCGCTTTGCAGATGCGAGCTCTGAGCGCGCGGCGGAGAGCTTTGCCGCGTCTTCGGGCGAGATATCAAGGGCATCGGCTTTCGCCAGCGCGAGAGAAGCGTCGGCTTGCGCCGACGCGAGGTCGGGGTCAGCTTGCGCCGACGCGATCTACTCGTCGTCAGAGTAGATATCGTTGTGCTTCGTGCGCTGGTGCGTATCATTCCTCAACGCATCAGCTTGAATGGCCTCTTGCATTGAGGCAGTCGGGCATAAGTGCCCAACTGGACTCAGGGGCCCCGCTCTTTTCCTCGAGCGCGGGAGAGCTTGGTAGCCGAGGTGATGGCCCCAGACTCGCCCTCCCGATTAGCCAGGAGAAGACTGGTTGGCTCGAGATGCACGCCCCCGACTCGGCAGACTGGAAGATGCTCTTCGCTGCGTCTTGGTCTGCGGGTCGTCTAACATCGACCTGAGGAATGAGCTTGATCACCTCTCCGATATCTGGGATCCTTGGTGGTGGTGGTGGACTTCCCTCCTCGCCCAGGGGATTCTTCGCCATCGACTGCACGAACGTCGAGTGCATTCCCTCATGGTAGGTTAGACGCACCATCGAAAAGGAGGGGGTGCCAATGGCAACATGCGTTCCGACGGCTGGCTCCCTACCTGTCTTTGCCATCGGGCGGCTTCTGGTCCCAAACTAGTAAGCGTGCGCCAGAGCTTGGGTCCCAGGTGCCCCCAGTGTGAAGACGCGATCGCTCGTGGAAAGTCCAGATCGCTAAGGTGCGGGTTTGACGCTGGAACGGCATCATCACTACCAGGGATACTGAGCCGCCCGTGGCGGCCCGCGGTGTCCCAGACAACGTCTGAGCGTTCCGGGTCCTTCCCGCTGGCCACGCGGGCAGGGCGCTGTTCATGGCCCGAGGCGGTCCGCAAAAAGGCCCTATCCAAGTCTGTGTAGACCAGCACATCAGGCCACGCAGCTGCATCCTCATCTGACGGCTCCATAGTCCTCTGCGCCACATCAGATAGCGCAGTGGCCGACGGATGGATAACCCTGTAGGTGGCTGCGCCCCGAGCCACCTCCGCCCCCCTCGAATTCAGGAGGTCCGTCATGTCCGGCGTCTGCCTAGGCGGGGGCTGGCGGGGGGCCCGCGGCGCGTCGGGTTTCGCCGATCAGAGGCGCTCTGCGCGCCAGCTTCGACGACGCAGCTACAGACGTGGGCGCGCCAGCGCATGATGAGGCAGAGGGCGGCGCGTCAGCTTTCGCTGGCGCGACGTTGAAGTACGCTGATGGAGCTGATCTCGGTTTAGCCCGAACCTTCTCCCCCTTTTGTGTACAAGGGTCCTTCGGAACAAGAGTTCCCACCAACTCATCCGTGTATGGCGTGGCCACATCGGGGCGAAAATGCTCGCCGTTCCTGGTCGCGAAAGGAAGCATGAAGGCGGAATCGTCTTCACCGCCATGACGGCTCCCTGTTCTCCACGCCGAAAGTTGTGACCCAACAGGTTGGCCTTGTGGACGTCAACATGGAATCATACCGGCGACCACGCAGATGATGGCAACTTTATGCACTGCTGTGGTCCGTTTAGGGCGTTCGGCACGTTTCCCGAACAGAACGTCATCTGCCGCTTCCTGGTGACCCCACCAGGGATAAGCCCCCTTTGCAGGATGTTTCAAAGGTGCTCCACCTGCGTTCCATGCCAGACTTGGGGTGCACAGTGGACGTCCGCAACGTTCCAGCCCGTGGCTGGCAACAAACGTTCGTCTGTGAATTCGCTCCCCGAGTTCCCGCCTACACATCGAAAGGTGACGCCGACAACGTCGGAAACGTAAGCAGTGTCAACCGAATGAAGGGGGGGTCGTATCAACTTTCGCTGCCGCAAGGACCCTTGTCGTTTTTTGTTCCCGGCTCTGCATTCGTCGTGCAATGGTCGACGAGGCTCTGGTGTAGAGACAGCTGGAACCATAACCATCCGGGCATGGATGGGAGGGGGGCGCTATGAATAGACGAAGCTACGGTGAGGGCGGAAGGCGACATGAGCCAACCAGGGCTGGAAGGTGGGGAAGGCGAGTAAACAAGCGTTGATCGACGAGGGAGTGCGTCAAGGAACGATGGGGAGAGTGAAATGATAGCGGCGGAACCGCAAACAATCGCAGGCCGAAGGAGCCGCACACACATACACACACATACACGCACGCGCACGCACACACAAAAACACAACAAAACACAAACACACACAACACACAAACACAACTAAAACCACAAACACAAACACAACACAAGCACAGACACAAACACACACACACAAACACACAAACAAACACCCACACAAAATCTCATACACAAGCACAAGCACAAACGCACACACAAACACGCACACACACACACACAACAACAACAACAACAACAACAACAACAACAACAACAACAACAACAACAACAACAACAACAACACACACTCAACACACACTCAACACACACTCAACACACAAACACAACACCAAACACAGACACCAACACAAACGCACACTGACACAAAGACAAAGACAACCACACACACAAGCACAAACACACAGGCACACAAGCACACACACAAACACACGCAAGCACGCACGCACGCACGCACGCACGCACACACGCACCCACCAACCCACCCACCCACACACACACACACACACAAAAACACGCACGCACGCACGCATGCACACGCACGCACACACGCACGCACACACACACACACACACACACACACGCGCGCACACACACGAACACGAGCACAATCACGCAAGCACAACAACGCACAAACACGCACCATAGTATCCCTTGGCAAAAGAAGGGGAAACCAGGGCCGCTGACGTCCGCTCATCCAGGGGAGTTGGCGGCCGAAGGCGTCAACCTCTTGGATTCGTTACCAGGCTCATCTTTGGAATCGTGTGTCTCGCCGCTGAGGACCATGCCTGGCTGAAGGGGGGGGCGCATAACGATCCAGGCCTGCCTCGAGGATCGCTCAAACCATTCAAAACGCGCCGCGCATGGCCGCGACGCCTTCCCTATTTCAAGAGGAGGTAGGCGGACGAGGACGAGGATGAATCCATACCATTACCATGACGACATGGGGGAGGTAATTTGAAAGCGTTCTTTGAGCCCGATCGCGTCATCCTGACCCCCAGCGCGCGAGGAAGTGAGGCCAACAGCTGCGCTTCCTGCGCCGATTGCAACGAATTCGGCGGAATCCGGCGCAGAATCCTAAGCTGGTGCTCTCTCCAGGGACAGCCTTGCAACATCGGCCCCAGGGGACGGGCCAAGAGTATTTCCCGCACCGTTGCCGCCCCCCGTGGGCAGGGGGCAGGCTGGCCCGTCTGGTCTTCCAGGGGATTTGGGAGGATGCATCTCCTTGGTTGGGGAACAGGCGGGAGTTCTGCCCCAATCGTGCTGGACAACAGTGCCAGGGTGCTGGAACGTAAGGGGGACCTGTTTATCTTTCAGCTCCTCTCCTCCCGCTCTCCCTCCTCCTCCTCCTCCTCCTCCTCCTCCTCCTCCTCCTCCTCAGCCTCCTCCCCCCGTTCCCACTCCCACGGCGTAGTGTAAACAACTGGTGGAAGCTCACGATCAAGTGCAGGACGGCCGGCTGGTGACAGGGCGAGGACGACCTCCACGGATCTCTACATCATTGGACACCCCAAACTCCGCCGTGGGGTGGGGTTCGGGGCGGCTGCAACGCCCCCCTCGCCAATCGTTTCCAAAATGCTCGGCAAGCCGCACTTTCGACGCGCTGCCCGCGGAAAAAAACATCCACGACACATACCCGCTGCGACCAGATTCTAAATCAACCCGTCGTGTACCGCAGCAACCCGTAATCAACATGGGACGATGACCGCTCACTGGAACTTGCATAGCATGGAGGCCATGGGGCTCAGAGCGGCACCTGATGGCAGAGAAACTCGAATCCGGCCGCTGAGGTCGGGAAGCCACCAAGCAGAACGAACTATACCGCTGCCACGCATCCGAGCCCGACACAATGCCAATACTCTCATACTGTCAGCTTCCACTCTAAGCCCAGAACCATGATGAACTGGTACCTTCCACGCTTCAGTTGGGAGTGCACCTGGCAGTACAGAACTTTGCACACAAAATAAGTGTACCCCACAGCCGCAGTCGCAACCGTATAGCAGCAACAACGACTGAAACATCGAAGCTGCGGGTACTTTCGCCACTGAGGCGAGTGGAATGCCCAACTCAACACCCACACAATGGGGCTGAGGCCGCTGCGCAGGCCTTGATCCGCAGCCGTGCCCCCCTTGCACGCTGAGGCGTGGCAGAATGTCAAGAGATGTCTGGTGGGATGTTTGTAAATCTTCTAGGGGGCACCATCTCCCTACTACCCGCACTCGGTCGCGTGCTCCGCCCCCCTCGAGAGGCTCCCTGCGCCGTCCGATGTACACCTTGGACTCCCAACATTTCTCCAAGGCTTCCGAAACTGTCTAGGAAGGTCACGAAGGCCGCCAGTATTGCCCCACACTGCCTCCAGAAGCACCCACCAGCCCCCAACAAGACCCCAGAAGGCGCCAATGAGGCTTCCAAGATACCAGAGAGACGGTCACGAACTGCGGATTATGATGATGATGCTGCTGATGATGATGCTGATGATGATGATGATGATGATGATGATTATGATGATGATGATGATGATGATTATGATGCTGATGATGATGCTGCTGCTTTTGATGCTGATGTTGGTGTCGATGATACTGATGCTGGTGATGATGATGATGACGGTGGTGGTGAGGATGATCAGGAGGATGCGGATCATGCTGCTGATGCGGATGATGCGGATGATGCTGATCATGCTGATGCGGATGAAGATGATGATGATGCTGATGATGATGCTGATGATGGTGATAACGGTGATGATGCTGCGGATGACGATGCTGGTGATGATTGTGGCGATGCTGGTACTGCTTATGCTGACGATGCTGATGATGCCGATGAATACGATGTTGTTGATGGTGATTAACATGATGCTGATGACGATGCGGACGATGCTGATGATGAGCATGACGATGCTGACGATGTTGATGCTGCTGCTGATGATGCTGATGTTGATGCTGATGATGATGATGCTGCTGGTCATGATGATGATGCAGATGGCGAGGACGCGGATGCTGCTGATGCGGATGATGGTGATCGTGATGATGTTGCTGCTGATGCTGCTGATGCTGCTGATGATGGCCATGCTGATGATGTTGATGATGACGGTGATACTCATGGGAATGATTATGTAGTGATGGCCGTGGTCGCGATTATTATGCTGATGGCGATGATGTTGATGATGATGATGACGATGCTGATGAAGATGATGATGATGATGATGCTGATGATGATGCTGCTGCTGATGATGCTGATGATGCTGATGATGATGATGATGGTGACGATGATGATGGTGATGGTGAGGATGATGCTGGCAATGCTGGGTGGTGGGGGTGAATATGATGCTTATGCTGATGATGCTGATGCTGCTGATAATGATGATGTTGCTGCTGATGGTGGTGGTGATGCAATGGTGATGCTGACTAGGATGGTGGTGGCGGTGGCTATGAGGAGGCAGAGGAGGAGGACGACGCGGTCGACGAGGATGCGTACGAACAGGAAGATGACGAGGAGAGTGCCGTACTTACGCCCAGGTCTCGGCGCGCTTGCCGAAGCGGGGGCACACAGCCACGGCTCGCTCTCCTGGTGCCCCTTGGAGCTCGGCTGGTCTGCGGCCCAATTGAAGTGATCGACAGGGGCGCCTGCGAGAGAGCGGGCATGGGTGAGGCTGGCAACGTAAGCGTTCTCGCCCTCAGGCTCACACCGATCGTTGCGCTCCTCCTGCTCCTTCGTCTTCTCCTCCTTCTCCTCATCTCCTCCTCTTCCTCCTGGGCGTTATGGGCCTCCTGGCCTTGGCTCGCCTGGCGTTCCGCAGGTCTCAGTGGTTATCGATCCTCCTGCACATGAGGGGGGGCGTGGGTTCGCGGACTCGACGGGTGTAGTCTGCCATGTGAAGTTCAAGACCCGAAGGGCTCTGCTAGCGCATCAGAGGTTCTCCAAGGCAGGGGGTCCTAGCTGTAGGTCGTTGCTCCACACGATGACTGTGACGAACGGGTGCGTTTATTGCTGTCAGACCTTCCGCACTCGGCACATTGCGCAGGCACATGTACGCACATGTGGTATCGTCAATGCTGAATGGACATTGCGTTGCTCGTGCTACTCCCTTCGCCCACCCAGTGTCTGCTTCTGTGCCCATTGGTTTCACTTTGCCCATTGTTTTCACTTGCGAGAGCGCTTGTGTTCGGTGGCCATGATGCCTCCTACGCTTGTGCAGTGCACATGCTACAACCGTTTCCAATCGAGTCGCTTTGTGCAATCATCTACGGGTTGAGCACGGCCCGCGACCTCCCCCTGCGGCCCCATCTGCAACGAACGATCGTGCAGACATCCAAAATCAGCAAGGAGCAAATGGAGGAGGCCAGGAGCCGCTGAAAGGGGGCGCGGACGTGGCGAGGGCGCTTGACGCGGCCGTTCTGGGTCGCAAGCTGCTCCCGCGCGCGTGGAGCCCGTCCAGCACGGCACGGAAGAGCAGAGCGGGGCAGTCTGCCCTCCCCCTAGCAGCGCCGAGCAGCAGGCAACGGGGGGCCGCCGGCAGCAAGGAGGACGGCGACAAGAACGCATTCAAGATGTAGGCCAAGAAGGCGTGCAGATTGGACCGAATGTGATCGAGCGGCTTCCCAGCATGCCCGACTCTCTGATGGCCAAACTCATGCCAGTGCTGATGAAGGCACTCTTGAAGAATAAGTTCATGATCAGGCAATTCATAGCAGCCGAATTTCAGACGATATTGCTTGACGACGCGACGGAGCTCGTGAGGTCCGTGTTCCAGGCAGGGAGAGCATGCGCGATTCAGGCGGTCAAGTTTTGCGAGGCCCACCAGAAGGATGGTAATCAGCCACTTCCAGCGGTGACTATGGGGCCAGCCCACATCCTGCTCATGGTAGTGTGCGGGGTCATCGCGAAGGCAGGAGAGCGAGTGGGAGCTCGCAGCAAGACGGTGTAGGATCAGCAGCAGGCGAAGTTGGACCAGACCACGTCCCTCACGGACATGTGCCTGCTTTTGAAAGGGTTTCGGGTGAGCTCGGCCTTCAAGGAGGGCAGCGCCAAGATGGTGTACCCCTTCGCAGACATCGAGCTGCGAAAAGGGCTTCAGGAGTGCGTGGTGCAGCTCGGCGGCGTGATCAGTGGGGATCGCCCAGCGGTCCAACGTCGAGCGCATCGTGCAGATGGCCCTCGACGATTTCGAGGACGGGTATTGAGTGGAGATGGTGCCAGACTGGACGATGTAAAGATGGTTTCGAAAGCTCGTTCTCCAACCCATGTCGGCACCGGATCCGGCAACGGTATGAATCCCACGAGCCCTCTGGGCACAGGTGGTCTAGGGCGTTTCCCTTTCCAACCTCCTGCCCTTTCCCTGCTCGGGAGGTTTACCTCCCCCCCCTCCCTGCGTTTGGACGGGGGGGGGGCGAACCCATAGCAGCGTCCAAGATGGCCCAAGATGGCTCCAAGAGGGCCTCCGAGAGCGCAAGATGGCCTCCAAAATGGCCCAAGATAGCGGTAGACAGGTCAAGATAGCCTCCGACACGCGTCCAAGAGGCCTCAAGACGGCCCCAAGACGGTTTCAAGTGCCCTCCGAGGCCTCCAAGGACCCCCCCAAGAGGCCAAAATCTTTCAATCACCTAAGGAATATCAATGTTTTTTGCCTTCTCGCTTTTTCGCCTCCGAAGGGCTCTTGAGGCCTCAAAATGGCCCCAAGATGGCCCAAGACAGCCCCAAGAGGGGCCCAAGAGAGCCCCAAGACGGCCCCAAGAGCGCCCAAGAGCGTTCCAAAAGCGGGCCAACAGGGTCCCAAGACGGCATTTTTGAGCCTCCGATGGGGGGGGGGGAGAATTGCCCCCCCCCTTCCCCCCCCCCCCCCCCTTCTGTAGCCATCAGGACTAAAACGGCCCCGAGAGGCCTCCCAGAACCCCCCCAAAGAGCCCAAGAGGGCTCCAAGACCCTCCAAAAGAGCCCCAAGAGGGCCCCAAAACGCCCCAAAAGAGCCCCAAGAAGGCCCTAAGACGAGCTCAGGAGAGCCCCAAGAAAGAGCCCCAGGAGGCCCCAAGAGGGGCCCAAGAGAATCCCAAGCGGGCCCCAAGATGCCTCCAAGTTTCGGAACGCACGCGAGTTTCACATACAAATCAGTGCAACAGCCATTACGAGTCATCGAAATACCCCTCACCTCTCATCGAAGCACCATCGTAACTTGCACTGATTTCCATCGTAAGCTTCAATGTGGGAAGCTATGTGTGATGCTTGTGTTCTCGAAGACGGCTGCGCGACTGCATGCGTTCTGCCGCCCCTGATTCACCAACTCCCCTGCTGATCGTTTCCGGATGGACTGGTGGGGGTATTTTTTTTGGTCGCGGCCGCGAGCGAAGAGCGCGGGACGCGAACAAGGTGTCCGGGCCGACGGGCAAACCTAATTAGCTGCTGGGCGCAGCGCGAGCCGGCCGGGCCAGCTCTCAGATGCAGCAGCTGCGGCAGCGGCGGCGGGGGGCTGGCTGGCTGAACTGCAACGCCCAGGGAAGCTCGAGCATCGTGCAGCCCTGTGGCAAAATGCCAAGGAATTCTGTGTTGCGCGCCGCGGCGCCAGTCCACCACGGTGAAGGTGCTTGTCGGGACAAGCAGAGAGTGGCCTGCACGTACAATCCTCACAGACACTGCAGTGGAGAAAAGCAAGGTACACACTGGTCATGTCGCCAGGGGGCGCCAAGGGCCAGGGCCGCGTCGACGGCGTAGACCTGCCTGGTCGGCTGGGACGGAACGAGGATGGAAGCACAGCGCCCGACGGAAGGCTGGACCACTCCGAGACGCCACGCACGTATCCAGTGGGGCACCCCAGTCCCGAGCAAGTGGCAACGAACCGGCCCGAAGGCGATGGCACCTGCGGGCCCGGCCCATGGCCGCACGGTCACGACGTGGGCGTCGCAGAGAACCGCGCATTGCGCGGAGAGGAAGCCTGTCTGGCGGGGATGGACGTCGCCAGCGCGGCCGGGAGAGTAGGCGCCAGGGGGCGACAGCGCCAGGGGGCGACAGCGCCAGGGGGCGATCACCCACATTGCGACGCAGGGTCACGGACCCCTTGACAGGCCACCCTGCCCGCGTGGGACCCTCCTGCGGCGGGGGCGGCGGGGACAGACATCACCGGCCGGCCACGTGGAAGGGGCCCGCCAGGGACACCCAGCGCCAGGAGAGAGAAAGGGAGAGGGGCGGGAACCAGGGAGCGGCTGACGGCCGCACGGGTTCGCATGGAGTGCACGTCCAGGGGAGCGTGCCCAGGGAGCGGCTGACGGCCGCGCTGATTCGTATGGGACTCCACGTCCAGTGGAACGTGTGGGGGCACTTATTGTTTCCAGGGTTGTGCTGCCATCTAGCACCCACACTGCCAGGACAATGTACGGGCAGAGCTTCCCCGCGGGTAGCACTGTCTACTGTCGACCTGCTGGTCCCTGTCTCGGCGGCCTGCCGGCATCGCTGCGCCTGCAAATATGCCCCCATGCCCCATGTTACCAGGGGTGCAGCTGACGGCTGCTCAGAGTTTAGTATAAGCCAGGGAGCAGCTGCGGCTGCTACGAGAGGGTACACTCCCGGCTCGCGGCCGTCCGACTGCCGGAGTCTGCCGGGATCCCCATCAGGCGCCACTTGGTAGGGATCAGCACTCGGCCGAGTGCTCATCCCTGCGAATGCCTGTTTCCTCGACAGGGAGGCCCTCGGCCTCTTCGGATCCGCTCGAGAAGAAAGTGCCAGGGGTGCGGCTGACGGCCGCCTGTGCTCTTCTATCAAGCTGATTGTCAGAGTGGCCACGCCGGCAGCACTGGAACGGTCACTGATTGTCCATGTTGCCAGGGGTGCAGCTGACGGCTGCCAGAAGCTTTTACCAAGAGCCAGGGAGCAGCTGACGGCTGCCACGAGGGTACGGGGATGTTCCTTGCTCGCAGACCTTGTCCAGGCCTTGGTCGTAAGCCTGCTCTGCCGCGCCGGGGCGCTGCCCCGCCTCCGGCTCGTGGCCGTCCGACTGCCGGAGACTCCCAGGACCCCCATCGGGCGCCAGTTGGTAGGGGTCAGCACTCGGCCGAGTGCTGATCCCTACCCAAGTGCTTGTTTTCCTCGACAGGGTGGCTCTCGGCGTCTTCGGATCCGCTCGAGAAGGAAGTGCCAGGGGTGCGGCTGACGGCCGCCTGTGCTCTTCTATCAAGCTGATTGCCAGGGTGGCCATAGGCCTCGACAACTCCGTGCACGGAGGGAAGAGCCAGGGTGACGGCTGTCGGTGCACCAGGGGTGCGGCTGACGGCCGCCTGGGGTCTTGACGATCTCTCGCCGCCAGGGCTGCGGCTCATGGCCGACAACTCTGGTTGTCCCCGCGGGGGGCCATCGTTTCTGGATGGGCAGGTGGGGGGACCAAGGCCCACAGGCTCGCGAGGCGGGTCGAAGGCCGTCGCGTGGGAGGCCAGCGCCGGGCCGACCGCAGGCACAACAACAGCCGAACGAACGGGCGAATCTAACAGGCGGGGAGCGGCGGTGATTCGCCACAGGGTGTCCTCGAAAGGTGCCATCGGTGCTGCTGCGCACTGGTGCACCTGTTACGCTGTTGCCAGCGAACTTAGTGTACCACACTGGCGATAACGACCATCTTGCTCGTGTCGAGGTAGACCGTGCGTGA